AGCGGCTGCTCCGGGTCGCAGTGGGTGGAGCGCAGGGTCGCGAGGGCTGGAGCCCCGGCAGGACAGCGGTGTCGGGGACCCGGACGGCGCAGCCCGGCTGCAGGTCGGTCCTGGGGCGGCCAGGAACGCGTGGGGACTCGGAGCTGGGGTCTGGCCGAACCCCCGGGCCTGGGGCAGCCTAGGGGAGCGGAGGCGGGGCCTTAGGGAGGAGGTGTCTGCGGGGAGGGGCCAGCTCGGGCCGCCCAGGGACCCCGCCCCGCACGCGGCGCCCAGGCTGACCCGTGGAGCCGGGAGGAGGGCCCCTCACGTGTCCAGGGCCCGGAAGGGCCTACGGGGCTGGCTGGGGAGGTCCGCGGAGAACACGCCCGTTCCTTTCAGGGTCTGGGTCGTGTCTTCACGACCCTGGTCAGAACCCAGAAGAACCACTGACTCCCACCCCCCACTCCGCTGATGCCCCCCGCGTGGACCTTGGGTGCTGGGGCACGGGGGATGGGGCTTCAGAGGGTTCGGACCTGGGACCCGCGGCCTGGGGGGCAGGGAGGGGTGTCTGATGACGGAGTGGGGGGGGGGTATGTGACTCCAGGATGGAGGTGTCTGACGGGAGAGGGGGTGTCTGATGGGGCGGTGCCGCTGCGCCCCCCTCTCCGTCCCCCGCCTGCCCTCCCTCAGGCGCTGCCATGGAGCCCGGCAGCATGGAGAATCTGTCCATCGTGTACCGGAGCCGCGACTTCCTGGTGGTCAACAAGCACTGGGACGTGCGCATCGACAGCAAGACGTGGCGCGAGACGGTGACTCTCCAGAAGCAGCTGCGGCACCGCTTCCCTGAGCTGGCTGACCCCGGCACCTACTACGGCTTCAGGTGTGCGGGGCGGGCGGGGTCCGGGCCACCGCGGGAGGGGAGCATGGTGGATGGGGTCCGGGCCACCGTGGGACGGGACCATGGCGGGTGGGGTCCAGGCCACTGCGAGATGGTACCATGGCGGGTGGGGTCCAGGCCACCCCAGAATGGTACCACAGCAGGTGGTGTCTAGGCCACCACGGGACGAGACCAGGGCGAGCACCTCAGCAGCCCTGCCCTCCCCAGGTTCTGCCACCAGCTGGACTTCTCCACTAGCGGGGCGCTCTGCGTGGCCCTGAGCAAGGCGGCCGCTGGCAGCGCGTACAGGTGCTTCAAGGAGCGGCGCGTCACCAAGGCGTACCTGGCTCTGGTAAGGCCCTTCTGGGCGTGGGCACCCCGTTCTCTCCATTTTGCGCTCGTGGCCTTTGGGCTGCCCCCTGAGTAGTGTGTGCTTCATTTGCGCAACAGGTGCGGGGGCACGTCCAGGAGAGCCGCATGACCATCAGCTACGCCATCGGCAGGAGCAGCACGGAAGGTCGGGCTCACACCATGTGTATCGAGGGCACACCGGGTATGGCAGTGCGGCGGGCGGGGCCCGGGGCGGGCGGGGCCCGGGGCGGCAGCTGACCCTCACGTTGCCTTCTCTTGCCCAGGCTGCGAGAACCCAAAGCCAAGCTACACGGAGCTGGTGGTCCTTGAGCTCGGGTTGTACGCGGGGGACCCCGTCTCCAAGGTGCTGCTGCAGCCGCTTACAGGTGTGCCAGGGTTCGGCTGGGGGGCCCTATCTGCGGTCTCCCCATTTTGCAGGGAGGGAAACAGGCACGGGGGAAAATAACCTGCTTAAGGCCCCCGAAGTCACTGGCAGAGCTGTTCACCCCAGCACAGCCTGCATTTTCAGATCTTTGCTGGGCTCTGGGGGATTTTGGAAGGATCCCTGGTGGCATAGTGGTTAATGTGCTGAGCTGCTAAAAGGTTGGTGGTTTAAATCCACTGGTTGTTCTGCAGGAAAAAGGTGTGACAGTTTATTTCTGTAAAGATTACAATCTGGGAAGCTCCTGTAGTGCACTTTTGCTTTGTCCCGCAGGATCACTATGAGTCAGAATCAGTTCCAAGGTAGTGGATCTGTTGGGGGGTTGCTGGCTGGGGTTCTCTGTCTTGAACCTGACTGTATCATCAGTTTGCCCTGTACTGTCCTGAGGGCCAGCCTCCCTCGTAGGAGAGCACGGGGGATTCATTTTTGCGGGTGGCTGTGGGGTAGAGGGACACAGATGGAGAGCCTGCTGACCTACACCTCTGCCACAGGTCGGACACATCAGCTGCGTGTGCACTGCAGCGCCCGCGGCCACCCCGTGGTGGGCGACTTGACCTACGGGCGGGGCGGTGGCCAGGAGGAGCGGCCCTTCCGCATGATGCTGCATGCGCTTTACCTGCGGGTGCCCACGGATGCTGAGCGTGTGGAGGCTTGCACCCCCGACCCCTTCGTGCCTGCCCTGGATGCCTGCTGGAGCCCCCACACCCTAGTTCATCCCCTCAACCAGCTCATCCAGGCCCTGCGAGCAGCCCCTGACCCCGCAGCCGGGAGCCCCCAGCCGTGCAGCCCCGCCGTGCCCCACCCTGTGACCCCTGAGACCGAGGCACAACGGGCCTCTTGCCTACAGTGGCTGCTGGAGTGGACACTGGAGCCAGACAGCTGAGTAGGCAGCCGGGGCGTGGGGTGGCGGCTGGGACCCCAGGGTGGGGCTGCAGGACAGAGCCCCAGACCCGTCCTGAGGCAAGTGGTGTTCCTAGTGGGCACACAGGCCCTGGCTGGCTGCCCAGCCGAGGAGGACTTAACCCTGCCCCGCTGGCTGCTGGTGGAGGGCTGCAGTGCAGCCAGCTGGCCAGCAGGGGGAGCCAGGTGGTCGCAGGTGGAGGAGCTCCAAGGACGTGCGTTTCTGGCTCACCGGGGGAAACCGAGGCCCTTCCTTCCTGCTGAAGCACTTTTCCGCCTCCGAAGCCTCACCCTAGGGCCCCCGATTTACAGACTGGATGGAGGCCAGGGAGGGAGAGTGGCTGTCCACGGTTACCCACACTGATGGGGCAGAGTGGCCCTGGATCCCAAGGCCCCCCCAGTCCCTGCTGGGCCCCTTCCCTCTGAAGCAACGCGTTTCCTTGGCTGCTCTGCCCAGAGCCCCTTGTCCCGTCACCGGCAGACCCCAGCCCATCTTCCTGTCGCCCCACTGTGGTCTTTGCGCTCTGCTCGCCCCTCTCTCTGTGCCTTTGTTTCTGCGGGACTGTGCCTGGGAGCCTTCCTCCCTCCACCTGGGTCCTGGGGATGAGGGGGTGGTGGCTGAGGAGCCCCAGCTACTTGCCCGCCCCTCTACACCTATCAGGGGTGCTGCTCTCCTGTGGGGTTTTAGGGTTCCCAGCCTGCCTCCGGCACTGCCTGCTCCCACGAAGCTCTGGCCTGCAGGACCCCCAGCCTGGGAGCCCTGGGCAACCCGGGTCTCGCCTCCTACCTCCCCGCAATGTGCCCACCACAGCTGAGCTCCAGGGACTTGGAATAAACTCAGTAACAGACCCCATGAGTGAACAAGAACGTGTCTGATGTTAGGGTCCTACGGGGGTTCTGAAGACCTGGACTCTTTCTGCCCCCTTCCTTAACCAGGAGATCTCTGCCCTGAGACCCCCAGCCAGGCTCAGGCCATTGTCAGGGCACTGGCTGCTGACCTGAGCCCCAGCCACGCAGGGGCATCCTACAACCCAGCTTGGGGGCTGGGCTCGGCAGGATAGGGAGGGCAGAGGCCGGGTAAGCCCTGCGCTGGAGGACTACCAGAGCCCCCCAGACACGCTTCCCAGGGTCCTTCAGAAGAGTCACTTCCACCTCAGTGCTGGGTCTCCAAAGTCTCAGAGCATTGCAAGGAGGCAGTGGAGGTCACACAGGCCTGTTGTCCTGGGCCCGGCCCCTCCTCCCAGGGCCAGCCTGACCTGTAACCACAGTGGGACCGCAGCAGGACTAAGGCAGGGTAGGAACCCAGGTCTGAGCCCTGGAGTCAGGCTGGCCCGGGTTCAAGTTCCGACCTAACCAGCTGAGGACTGTGTGGTCTCCGCTGAGTAACTGCTGCCCCAGTTTCCTTGTCCGTAAACGGGGGACTTGAGCAGATCAGAGAAGGTCACATGAGATCTGTCCTCGGTTGCTGTCATAGCCACTGGGACCCTCCTCACCTGGCCCTGCCGTCACGTACCCTTCACTCCAATCTTCATACTTGTTGAGGCCCGCCCACCGTAGGTCCCTCACAATAACTGCCCACCCTCTGTCCTCACGGCCTGCTCACCCCTTGGGATATCGTGTCTCCTGTCTCCGCACTGCCCCCTCTGAAATGGCAGTCCCCAAGTCTGGGGTTGTGTCACCACAAAGCCCCAAGCCCTGCACAGGCCTGGCGGTGCTCAGGAACTATCTGGAGGGATTTCCCCGTGGGTTCAGACCGTGGCCCACCCCCACTGGAGTCCTTGCCCCACCTAGCACCCCACCTTTCTGCAAGAGGCCTGTGTTCAGCTGGCATCATGCCTGTCTCTGCCACACGGGGTCACTGTTGGACACAGCCCCGTGCTCACGGGCTGTCTTCTCTCACCTGTCATGCTCAGTTGCTCCCCAACGGCTGGCACCTGCCAGAGGGCCTGGGTCCACGGGGGCTGTGGCTGAGCCAGGACTACCCAGGTGACCCCGGAGCCCCTCACCTTCAGGTACTCAGGCAGGGCTATCCCAGAATATCCCCAAGGTGGCCGGATATTCTTGTTGGCCCCCAGGGCCAGCCATATCCTGGGGGGCAGCTGCAGACAGCCTGTGGGCAGAGCTGTTCTCCACACTAGGACAGAGAGCCCCTGGGTGGGGTGGGGGTGGGGGGCAGGCTGCTCCTTGCAGTTGTCGATCAATTTCTCCCTCAGCTGCGGGGGGAGTGCTCATGGGGTCCTCTGCCCCCTTCTAGAGCTGAGAGCAAGAGTGGGCAGTGGGTGTCCCTGCCTCACCCCATCCACCCCAGGTCCCGGGAAACTACAGGTAGGGCAGGTGGCTGGGAAACCCACTGCCCCCCATTCCCTCCCATCTGGAGGACCTTGGAGCAGGACTGGCCCAGTGCGAGTGTGGGGGGGGTGGTCAGGAGCACAAAGGTGCCTCCATGTCATTGGCTTTGCTCTCCAGCAGGACTGACCCAGTGTGGGGAGGTCAGGAGCATGAAGGAGCTTCCATGTTGGTGGCTCTGTTCTCCAGCAGGACTGACCCAATGTGGGGATGTCAGGAGCACGAAGGAGCCTCCATGTTGTTGGCTCTGTTCTCCAGCTTTTACACCCCCAGGTGCTAGGTGGCTCTCACAGCATCAGGAGTAGGACCAGGGGCCTCAGGGAAGACCTTGACCACCACTCTGCAGGGTAGGGATGCCCGGGCTCAGTGGGCCACGGGGAGGGCAGAGGGTAGGAGTGGCCGGCCAGAAGGCCATGGAGCAGGGTATGCTGGCCTGGCACTTGTCGGGGGGCTGAGCACACAGAGCAAGGGACAGGACAGATGGGTAGACAAGGTGGAGAAGTAGACGGACAGAGAGTGGGAAGGCAGGATGGGAGGGTGGCTGACCAGCTGGGTAGCTGGGCCAAGGGATAGGCCCCGCCCTGGAAAAGGCTCCACTCCACCCCTGCCCAGCTCCTCCCCCTGAAAAGCCGGGCCCCCCACCATCACACAGGACCCCCTACCTGCCTCCCAGGACCCACATAGCTCCTCTGACCATCCAGCCACCAGGTCCAGCCCTTTCCCCCTACCAGGTAAGGTGCTTCATCCCAGCCCATCTCCCCCCATGAGCTGAGGCCCCAGGGCCCAGACAGCCCCCAGCCCATCTGCCTCATGCCCTAGCTGTGCTGGGTAGGGTCTTGGGTTGGTGTGGGAGTTGAGTGAGATTTCCCGGAAGAGGGGCAAGAAGAAGTTCCCTGGCGAGGATCCCGGGCATGCTTCTGGGGGCACGCGTGCCCAGTAACACGCAGCAACACGCCTCGGGGCTTCAGCGTCACAAGGTGGAAGCCGGCCACACGCACCCCCACACAGGCCTGCATCTGGCTGATGTGTGCCCGACGTGCCCTGCAGGGACACACTGTGGCACACAGCACAGAGGAGCACAGGCCGAGAGTTGTACATAGTGCCCGCGTGCAGGCTCACAGGGCCCCGCGTGCAGGCTCACAGGACCCCGCGTGCAGGCTCACAGGGCCCCGCGTGCAGGCTCACAGGGCCCCGCGTGCAGGCTCACAGGACCCCGCGTGCAGGCTCACAGGGCCCCGCGTGCAGGCTCACAGGGCCCCGCGTGCAGGCACAGCTGGACAGCTGCCAGCTGTGAGCTCAGCCGCTGGCTCCTTTGGGACCAGGAGCAGGTGCCTGCCATGCCTGGGGCCCCTGGGGACGGCAACACAGCGTCAAGGCTCCGCCCTGCAGAGGCTGTGCAAGAGTGGGTGGCAGGGCACGGGGTAGTGGCCTGCCACCCACGGGCGACTCACGAAAGAGCAGGGAGCCCCCCGTGCCCCCACCCTGCACAGCCCCGGCGCCCCAGGTCTCAGCAGTACAGGCTGAAGACTGCCTGGTGGGCTGGGATCTCCGACGTTCCTCCACCTGCAGGTCTGGAGCCTCAGGTGAGAGGGCAGGGCTGTGGGTCTGGACCACTGTGCAGCCCCGTGCAGGGGGCTGCTCCTCTCTGGGCCTCAGTTTTGTCCCCTGTGGGGCGAGGGGGATAGCCCCACTGTCTTCCTCCTGGGCCGTTTGTAGGGTCTGGAGGCCCAGAGCTGTCCTGGCGGGGCTCCCTGATGCTCCCTCGCCTCCCTGGACCCTAGTCCCCAGACCTCACGACTTTGGTCTCAATGTGGCCAGGGCTGCCCAGGGAGCTAGGGCAGGGTCGTCACTTGGGGCCAGGTCCCATCCAGAGCTGGGTGTCTGGGTTGGGCCCCAGACAGGGGCAGGGCCTGCCTGGCCACACCAGATGGGGTTGGGGAGAGGCTGCCCAGGGAGGGTTGAGACACCCCTGGCCTCTCTCGCAGGCGCCTACTCAGAGTTACAGGGACCGCCGCCCCTCCCCCCTCTCTGTTTGTCTCCTTAATTGGAGATGCAGCCACCGCCCCGGGGTCCCCTGAGCCCCAACCTGTGATAAGAAAGGCCCCAGGCTGGCCCGGCCCCCTCCCTGCCACTCCTTTTGTTCCAAAACGACGCACTGTTTGCGGGGGTTTTTCCTCCGAAACACAGAGAGAGCTGGCTGGAGCCCCGGACGGCAGGTGGGGGTGGGGTGGAGGGCTGCCGCGTCACCTCCCTGTGCTCCCCTGCAGCTTGTTCGGGACCTGCTGCTGGTGACACCAGTGCCTTTCTGCCCCGGGACGGCCTCAGCCAGGACGATCATCACCAACCACTGGGCAGCCATGGGCCCCTGGGCAGGTGAGATGTCCCCTCCACCGCGGGGGGTGAGATGTCCCCCTGGGCGGGTGAGATGTCCCCTCCACTGGGGGGAGTGAGATGTCCCCCTGGACGGGTGAGATGTCCCCTCCACCGGGGGGGGTGAGATGTCCCCCTGGGCGGGTGAGATGTCCCCTCCACCGGGGGGGGGTGAGATGTCTCCCTGCCCGGAGGGACCCATGGCTGGACTCCCCAGGTAGGGAGGGGAGACCCCAGTCATCAGGGTGACAGAGCCCCCCAAGGAACACAGCACAACCCAGCATGCTGCCCCAGGCCCAACAGCCCGGGAGGTGGCAGGCAGGACTGTGTGGGACTCCACAACCCACCTGCTCGGGGCCCTTCCTCCACTGGAGAAATGATCTCAATAAATGGTACTCATGGGGCTGGCGAAGTACGGTGGCTCGCACCCCACCTGTTGGCTGGGTTTCCAAGGCAGGAACATGGGCCAGGCCCCCCAAATCCTGCTGACAGGCCCAGAGCCTGGGGAGACCTGGTTGGATGGGAGGAGGCGTTCACACACATACACACACCGCCGGGCATCCCCCAGACACAGGCCCGGCCCAGTCCTCCCTGCCTCCGTGGGCACCCATGGCGGGGGCCCATGCTGCCCCACGTGCTCACGGCAGGCTCTGTTCCAGGTGCCCTGGCCAGCCCGGGCCTCGTCCTCCTGCTTTCACTCACAGTCCATCACTCACACCCCCAGGCCGAGGTCTTCTTCCAGAGCGAGCTGGATGAAGATGGGGTCAGCCAGTGGGCCAGGTGAGCGCCAGGCCCGGGACTCCTCCAGCAGGGCCCAGGCCACAAACCACAGAGGGCCAGTCCTTCCGCCCAAGTCCCTCAGCAGATGGCCAGGGTCCTCAGAGCCCAGCCTGAGCACAGAGCCATCAGGGGAGCAAATGAATGAGTGAACGAGTGAGTGAGCAAAGCAGGGGCCCCATCTGAGCCCCAACAGTAGCTTGGAGCCCGGCCCCAGCAGATGCTCAAGGAGTGAGGGAGGGAATGAGTGAATTAACAAACACATGAATGAATGAGTGAGTAAATGAATGCGTGAAGCAGGAACCCACCCTGCATTTTGAGGCGCCTCTCGGCACCACTTTTGGCACCTCAGCCCCCCGTGCTGGAAGGCAGCTTCAGATGCCCTCGATCCCGCAGCCTGCAGCCCCTCCTCAGCTGCCCCTCCACCCCTCACACCAGCCTATTGTCTGCCCAGTGCCAACGCCTCCCTCCTGCACAGCTTCCGGTGCCAGCCGGCCGGCCAGCTGAGCCGGGACCAGCTATCGGCTCTGGTCAGGAGGATGGCGGCCCAGCAGGTGCTCCTCGAAGCCTGGCAGGTGAGCGCCCTCCGGGGCCCTGGGCGAGCAGGGCGCAGGGTGGCACCAGGGGGACAGGCTGTGCAGGGAGGAGGCTTCTGGGGAAGGGCCTGGGGCAGCGGGGGGTGGTCTGCACAGGCAAGAGGGTCTCCCCGGCAGAAGCTGGGCTGCAGGACCACCAGGCTGGGTCGGGAACACAGGCGTGCAGGTTGCCAGAGCTGGGAATGTTCTGGAAACACAGCCAATCTGCCAAGCTCAGAATAAGCCAGAATGCGTCTCTCAGGTCTACCCAAACACAACGGGAAGTTCAGCCCCTCTGGGACGATTTCTCTCCTTTTGGGCGTCTTTTCCTGCTCGGCCCACTTCGGACATTTCTAGGATTTTTTTAGCCAGTTCACCCGCAGTCACCCCGGCCTCGTATTCTTGTTGGGAACGAGGGTTTGTCATGCCTGCACCGCGTCCTTTCCCTCGTCCATCTCGGCACTGTCCCCACTGGGCGGGCTCCCTGGACCCCTGGAATTCATACTCAGACTCTGCCTCCCTGAGGCCCCACAGCCGAACCAAGCATCCTCTGCCCCCAAGTTTGGGGGAAAAAAAGCTGTCGCTTTGTCTCGTTATAAAATTAGTATAATCCAGAAAAATGGGAAAACGCAGAAAAGGTGAAAGTACAGACCATCCTTTGGAGGCCCACTCCGCCAGAGAAAGGCCGGCGTTTAGGGTTGGCCCTCTGTTCTCCGCTCCAAGCAGAGCTTTCTTGGGATTTAATCTGGTGGAGTTAGGGACCCCAGACTCCCTGTGCCCACCGCCTCCAGCTGCGCCCACCGCCTTGCTCTGGGGCTGCAGCTCCGAGAAACACACCGGGCCCCAACGCTGAACCACCCCTCCCTGCTCGGCTGTCGCCTCGTAACCGCCCTGCCCTGGGCTACACCGAACCCTCACCCACGGGGGTTCAGATTCGTCGGATTTCCTGAGGACAGACCCCACGGGGGGCGCCTGGGAATGTGTATAGTTTACAAAGCTTTTCCCTGATTGTGAAATTCACGTTCATGTCAGGGATTGGGAGGCTCTGAAAAGCACAGGAGAGAAGCGAGACCCGTTTATGCTGCCGCCCGGGGAAGATCACGCGGAGCGGTCTGACAGCCCCTCCCCGTGATATCCCTGCGCGTCCGTTAAACGTGGCTGGGATTTAAAAAAACAAGACAAAAACAAACCAGTTGGTGTGGAGTCAACCCCGACTCATGGCATGGCGACCATGTGTGTCGGAGGACAACTGTGCTCCATAGGGTTTCAGTGGCTGATTTTTCAGTATATCTCCAGGCCTTTCTTCCAAGGCACCTCTGGGTGGCCTCGAACCTTCAACCTTTTGGTTAACAGCCAAGCGTGTTAGCCGTTTGTGTCACCCAGGGACTACTTCACCAAAAAACACCAAACCAGTTGCTTTCAAATTGACCCCGACTCCTGGCGATTTCATGTGTGTCAGAGTAGACCTGTGCTCCACAGGGTTCCCAGTGTTGGTGTTTTGGAGGTAGATCACCAGGCCTTTCTTCTGAGGCACCTCTGGGTGAACTCAAACCTCCAACCTTTCCGTTAGCAGCCAATCACGTTTGCACCACCCAGGGACGTAACAGGCAGGCAATTGTGTATTCTACTCTCCTCCCTAATTAATGAGTACGTGTTTCTTTCCTGGATATTTAAATATTAAATATTTTTCCTGGAGAAATGGCATCTTCTGTATGAACATTTTAGAACCACAGGTACCTGCTGTTAAGTTGCCTTCGAGAAGGTTCTACCAATTCTTGATTGTCCAGTAAAGCATGAGGGGCTGACTGGACCTCATCTTTGCCCGTCTTGGGCATCTTCATTTAACAAAACAAAAACAAAACAAAACAAACTTTGGCAAGAGAAAATCCTCTGGAAGTTTCCATGCCGATTGGGTCCAAGAGTTCCTCGGAAGAAGGCAAGCCTTCCCTGTCTGTCCACTCCCCTCCATGCTGGGTGAGTTTCATGAAGGCGTCTTCTCTCATAACACACTTAGGAACGTAAGTGCCTTTATGGGCTGGCTTGTCTGTAACATCTGGGGTGACGTCTGGCCTCCTTCTACTGTCAGCCTTTGGGTGGTTTCACGTTTTTAGGTGTCTGGTGAACAGCATTGTTGTTGGGTGCCGTCGGGTCGGCTCTGACTCACAGCGACCCCATGTACAACAGAACAAAACATCGCCCAGTCCTGCACCAGCCTCACTGTCGTCGTTATGCTTGAGCCCATTGTTGCAGCCACTGTGTCCATCCATCTCGTTAAGGGTCTTCCTCTTTTTCACTGACCCTCTACTTTACCAAGCATGATGTTCTTCTCCAGGGATTGGTCCCTCCTGATAACACGTCCAAAGTATGTGAGACAAAGGCTCACCATCCTCACTTCCAAGGAGCGCTCTGGCTGTACTTCTTCCAAGACAGACTTGTTCATTCTTTCGGCAGTCCGTGCTATAGTCAATACTCTTCACCAACATCATAATTCAAAGGCGTCAACTCTTCTTCGCTCTTCTCTTATTCATTGGCCAGCTTTCACATGCTTAGAAAGAAATTGAAACACCATGGCTTGGGTCAGGCACACCTTAGTCTTCAAGGTGACATCTTTGTTTTTTAACATTTTAAAGAGGTCTTTTGCAGCATACTTGCCCAATGCAATGCATTGTTTGATTTCTTGACTTTTGCTTCCATGGGTGTTGAAATCCTTGACAACTTCAATCTTTTCTCTGTCTAACATGATGTTGCTTATTGGTCCAGTTGTGAGGATTTTTGTCTTCTGTAGGTTGAGGTGTAATCCATACAGAAGGCTGTGGTCTTTGATCTTCATCAGTAAGTGCTTCAAGTCCTCTTCACTTTCAGCAAGCAAGGTTGTGTCATCTGCATAACACAGATTGTTAATGAGTCTTCCTCCAATCCTGACGCCACATTCTTCTTATCATCCAGCTTCTTGGATTATTTGCTCTGCGTACAGATTGAACAGGTGTGGTGAAAGGATACAACCCTGACACACACCTTTGCTGACTTTAAACCACACAGTACCCCCTTGTTCTATTCAAACGGCTGCCTCTTTATCTATGTACAGGTTCCTCATGAGCACAATTAAGTGTTCTGGAATTCCCATTCCTCGCAATGTTATCCATAATTTGTTATGATCCACACAGTAGAATGCCTTTGCATAGTCAATAAAACACAGGTATACATCTTTCTGGTATTCTCTGCTTTCAGCCAGGATCCACCTGACATCAGGAATGACATCCCTGGTTCTGCGTCCTCCTCTAAATCCGGCTTGAATTTCTGGTAGTTCCCTGTTGATATACTGCTGCAGCCACTTTTGAATGATTTTCAGCAGAATTCTACTTGAGCATGATATTAATGGTATTGTTGGATAATTTCCGCGTTCAGTCAGATCACCTTTCTCTGGAATGGGCATAAATATGGATCTCTTCCAGTCGGTAGCCAGGTAGACAACAGCATAGAGCTGGCTTTTCTTTTTCATTGTGGTGAAATACTCATAGCATAAAATGACCACTTTAACCATTTTAAGGTTCACAGTTTAGTGACATTAATTATTCACCATGCTGTGCAACCATCACCGCTATCTGGTTCCAGGGCATTTTCATCCCCCCAAACAGAAACCCTGCACCCAGTAAGCAGTCACTCGCCATTCCCACCCCTAGCCTCAGTCAGTCCTAATCGACTTTCTCTCTATGGATTTGCCTATTCTAGACATTTCGTGAAAGTAGAACCATCCGATAATCGTTTTTTTGTGTCTGGCTTCTCTCACTCAGCATAATGTGTTCAACGTTCAACTACTTTGTAGCAGGTATCAATGCTTCACCCATTTTAGGGCGGAGTAATGTTCCGTCACCACCACTTGTCTGTTAGGATGTCAGCCTGTCAGTTTGTTGAATTATGGTGTTGCTGAAGAATATTGACTATACTGTGGACTGCCAGAAGAACAGACAAATCTGTCTTGGAAGAAGTACAGACAGAATGCTCCTTAGAAACAAGAATGGTGAGACTTCGCCTTACATGCTTTGGACATGTTATCAGGAGGGACCAGTCCCTGGAGAAGGGCATCATGCTTGGTAGTGTAGAGGTTCAGAGAAAAAGAAGACCCTCAACGAGATGGATTAACACAGTGGCTGCAACAATGGGCTCAAACATAGCAATAACTGTGAAGATGGCGCAGGACCAGGCGGTGTTTCATTCTGTTGTACGTGGGGTCGCTATGAGTCAGAGACGACTCGCGGGCACCTAACAACCACGACAACACTGTCACATTGTGTTTGTCCGCCATCTGCTGACGGACCCTTGGGCCGCTTCCACTCCTTGGCTGTTGGGAGCAGGCTGCAGTGAACACTGGTGTTCACATCTGCGTGAGTCCCTGCTGTCAGGTCTTTCGGGAGTAGAATTGCTAGGCCATGTATTATTTCTGTGTTTAGCTTTTTGAAGAGCTGCCACACTTTTCCTACAGCTGGATGTTTTAATCGAATCTGAAACTGTCCCTCGTTGCAAGGTTGGTGCATGCACGTCGGGCTTTATAGGAGGTTTGTGCCCACTTCCCCTCTCATTTCTCTGTGTCCTAAAACGTGTTGGTCCTGACTCTGGATGGGTGGGGTCTTTCTAAGGGGCAGCCTCTGAGTTCCCCCGCCGGTGTGAGGACGTGCTGGTAAGACAAGATCTACGGTTTGTGGATTTGCTGCCAGTGCTTCTCCTGAGCTGGTTCTTGCCTTTTACTGATAGTCCGTTTTTTTTGCCTTTTCAAACTTACAGGTGTTTGAAATGTTTAGGAGTCAGAGTTATCCCTATCTTTCTTCCCTTCTCTCCTCCCGGGGGTCTCATTCCCTTGGGGATTCCCTCTGGGAGTGTCCTGCCGGGTGTGGGTTAGGATGGGGCTGTCCCAGGAGCACCCAGCCTGGGGTGGGCCTCTCCCCGGGGTGAGATCAGGGAAGGGCCTTGTGGAAATCGGGAGGACGGGCCTGGTTTGCCCTGAGGCCCCCTGAGGCCCACTTCCCGTCTTACTTGGGCTAGGTTGATGCGAAGTGTGGCGGGGAGCCCTCGAGGAATTGACTGAAAGCCTTTAAAATGGCTCCAGAGCAGGCCACAGACGTCCAGGCAGGGTGTCGCCATGAGAGGGGGTGTCTTGCAGGAGTGTGGGGCGGCTCCACAGGGGGCTGTGGGTGGGGGAAGCTGGGTGGGAACTGGGCTGGGTACTGAGGGTGCAGGGCCCCACCCATGACTTCTGGGATGCCCCCGGAGGTCTGTGCGAGGGTCAGGGGGCCCTCACAGCCATCTCACCTTCCTGGCACAGGATCACCCCTAAAGTCCGTTTGCAAATGGGGAGGCTGCTGCCATCGTCCCAGCCAGAGGGGGAGGGGGCCGGGGAGAGGCCTGCTGTGATGTGAGGGCCAGCGGGAGGAGGGAACATGCTGGAGGTGCTGCGGGACGCGGGCTGGGAACTCCGCGGTGAGGGGGGTGTGGGCAGGAGGAGGAGGAGTGACCCCCGCGCCCTGCCCAGCTCAGCTGCCTGGCCAACCTCGTGGGACGGCGCGGCCTTCAGGACGACTTTGAGCGGCACCCGCAAGACCTGCTGCTCTTCTATGAATGAGTGTTCACCTACCAGAGTCCCCTCTGAGTGTGGGCGGGCGTGGTCTCTCCTGGGCGTCCCCTCTGATGTGGGCGGGCGTGGTCTCTC